TACTCGGGAAACTGAGTGAAGCGGGATCAAATCCCGGGTCTCGCACCTCTGATATTTTCATGTGGGAATCATTTCCAACATGATTACTACTTGTCTGAACGGTGAATGAAAACATCGTGAGGAAACCTGCATGTCTGAGAGAACTTAGTAAGTTTTTGAAAGACATGTGTAGACCACCAACTTGCACTTAGCCAGCGTGGTAGTATAATATTATACCTAATATATATTATTGTTTTATTAAACTAAAGATTCTCTTATTACACCTTAAATATTAAACCAATAAAATATTAAAATATAATTGAAACAAAAATTCACCAAGTACAAATTATTCAAAAATAAAAAGGAAAACAACAAAATGAAATTTCTTCATAATATTTTTAAAGTATATACAGTATCAACATCTTTAAGCCTTAGCTGAGCTTTGTTATCTTTAAAAATTTAGGCCCTGAATGGATCTTTACGCCTTTGGCTATTTCTAAGGATTTTCTTGAGTATTACAGGTGAGATGAGACGGCGGTCATTTAAAGACGGTATAAAAAGTATTCTCATTTCTTCCCCTATATATCTTTAGTGGTATCTACGAAGACTTTAATAAGAGAACCTCATTTGCATGCGACGCCGATGGTTTTAGTGTTTTGATTGCGTGATTTCAGCGCTAGGTTTTTCTAATAAAATCTTTTTACTGAACGTGTCTTTGTTGTTGGGAATATTCGGAATTGATTTGGAACACAGGATTTACTTTATTATGTATATCGTTTTAGTCTATTTCATATCAATTTTCTTATATTTTGCTCTGACAAAGCTTTAATTTTGAAACTTTTTATATAACGAATTTTTAATACATATTTCTAGTATCCATACTAATATTACAAATGTGAAAGTTTGTGAGGACGTATGATTGCAACTCTTTACGTTAGAACGGCTGAACGGATCTAGATGAAATTTAGCACAGAGATAGATTAGTACATAGTTTATTTTTTATCCCGAAAAAATGTACGGTTCCCGTGGGATAGATTTATTTTTGTTTAGAGACCTGAAGTGAAAACGACCTGAACCTGGAGCGAAGCGAGGATGAGTCGCTAATATTTTATACATAAATGTAGGATATTTATATTATTATTATTTATTATTAGTATTATTCATATATTAGTACTAGAGTGAGGTTTCAAGATAATAAATAATTAATTATTTTAAATAAAATCCTTCAAAAGTATTTTTTTTATTTTTTATTATTTAATTAAAAAAATATACCTGTACCATTAAAGTAGCTTCATAAATTATAATATTAAGACGATTTCGACGAAATATTTTGGCAAAATGTGTGGAAATTTTATGACGTTGGTGTAAAGTAATCTACTGATATTCACGGCGGCTCTTGAGATGCTTTATGATGTAAGCAGATAACGTAGTACGTAATAATATTACCCATGTATATAATATTACCTATATTATAGTAATTTATTATAGTGAGTAAAAACAAAACTAGAACAATTAACTTATATATATGACTAAATATATTGAGAAAGTATAATGAAAATTATCTATATAGATATTTTCTCTAAAAAAACCTTTTTTTTTCTTTTCCGAAAAAATAATGAGCGAAACTTGGTCATCTAGGTACCAATAAATAATATGAACATTATTAAAAATTGTAAATCAATTATTATTTATAATAACACTTTTTATTATTTAAGATGTAAAATAAGAAATTATATTAGTATAAAAATAATAAAGGAAATCAATGAAATATTATGTTGTCATAATAAAAAAAATATGTATGTTTTTTTGCGGGTCCACTCTCAAATCCCAATTATGTACCTACTGCCTCGGTGGTGTAGCGGCTAGCATGTACGGCTGCACACTCGGAGGTCCTGGGTTGGAGTCCCGGGTCGGGCCAAGTTTAGTTATTGAGTATTTCTGTATAGTAAGCCTCAGTAACAGCCCGGAGTTGGGAAGTTAGTGGTGTTTCACCCCCGTGCCTCGGAGAGCACGTAAAGCCGTCGGTCCTGCGCCTTAACTCTCACTGGTCGTGTCGAGTGGTCGTCCCACCGGAGTATGAGAGTGACAGGAATAGAGAGTGCACTTGTGTCTGCGCGTACACTTGTGCACTATAATATCTCCTGCGCAGTTGGCTAGTCTCAATGAGATTGGCCGCCGTGGCCGGACTCGGCTAGGAGAACATCATGTACCTACTAATATTTTTATAAATTAAATATAACCTATATGTTACTCTAGCTTATAAACTACTAAGAAGTTTCATCAAAATCCGTTCAGTAAGTTTTACGTCAAAGAATAACTAACAAATGTACCTCCATACAATGCGTTTTTGCGTTTTAAATATTAGTCCAATACGCCAGAAGTAACAGGTTTGATTCTTTAAAAAAAGTATTTTAGTTAATCATCCCGATTTTAATCCTAGTTTCATTTTTTTTCTTTGTAATATAATTGTATATTTAAAACAATCTTTTCCTATAATTAATGGCTTCGGTAAGACATTTCTTGTGAGAGATAAATCGTCTTATAAAACAACATACTTTTTAATTTCATTTATTCTAAAAAAACTTTAATTATTTATTTCTCTTCACTAGACTATTTTGTATGTCATTGATTCGCTTATAGTCCAATCAGAATCTGTTTATTTTTGAGAGAAAAAAAATATATTTTCAATATTTTATTCCCAAACCGGATTCCGATTGAACTATTACTCGAATCACTAGCATTGCTGGAAATTTAAATTTAAAAAATAAAGATTATTATTTTTCATTCATTGTTAGGAGAACGAAAACCAGGTTTTCTTTTTATAAGATAATTTTCTCATGTGACAAAGATCTATAAGACGACTTAGCCTCGCTTCGATTTGAGTTCATCCCTAGACAAAAACAAATCTATCCCATGGGAACCGTACATTTTTCCAAGATGATATAAGCATTCATCAATAAACTAGCTATCTAAAGCAAAAAGATTTTTTTTAAACGGATTAGTAGTTCCTGAGATTAGCGCGTTCAAACATAAAAACAAACAAACAAACAAACTCTGCTCCTTTATAATATTAGTATAGATTCCTCTATACTTACAATGTCTAAACAAGTAGGTAAGTAGAGCTCCATTCTTTTCGTAAGACTCGTTTAATAATGCTTATTTTAATTAAAAGAGAAAATAATACAATATGTAGTTTAAATCCAAAATTTATTTAACTCTTACCTTTTTATATATACCTTATGTTTTTTTTCAATAATTCTATTAAGGAATGTCAATGAACACAAATTATAACTATATAATTAAATACAAATATTTATTTGAGAATCCAACACTGTAAAATGCAATGCAGCTAATTATCATCCCTGATTACTACAAAGTCGTTTGAAAAAGTTTAATTTTCAACATAGTTAATAACAGATTAAAAAAATCGTTGCCATTTTATTTGAGATCAATAAAATATATACAAAGGTATTGATTTCATCGCAAATCCCAAAGCCCATACAAATAGTCCGGGATCCGGAGATGTATTTATGTTATACAATCATAAACTTCTAACGTCAATACCTCCCTAACTCCCGGTAACTCGACTTAGAGGAATACGAGATATATTACGGAAAAGCTACAAGGCTTTTGATGATGTTTATATGTATACTGTAATTACTCAATTGAAGCCAGTCTAAAAAACATAGTCTACTTTGTCGAAATTGTATAATATAAGTGTGTTGTTTTCATGACTAAAGAAAAATAATATGAATAATACTTACAAATAGAATATACGAACTAAGAAATACTAGTTCATATTTACATTATTATTAGCTTTTGTAATGAGAATAAGTAAATTTATTTACATATTTTTACGTACATAGATAATTTTCATTTATGTATTTTTGTAAAAATAATTGTGTTTTCCATACTAATTTATATTTATCACAAAATACTAACACTAATTAATTATTATAAACATAATTTAATGAGAAATAATTATTGTACAAACATAAATTCGACAGTCTCTAAATATCTCTATGATTGATATGCGATGTGCTGATTAATATTTTAATAGATTCTGAAACATATAGGCAACAGAATATAAATTATATATCTGTTTAAATAATTAATATCTTAATTAAATAAATAAATAATAAATATGTTAGGACATTAACACACAGCACCGTCTAGTTCCATGGTAAGCTACGAGGCTTGTGTTATGGATACCAGATAGTTGATACACTACACATATATAACTTTTAAATACATACATATTATAAATATAAACACCCATGACTGGAGTACGAACATTCGTGCTCATCACACAAATGAATGCCTCCAGCGGGACTCGAACCCGCGACCGCTGTCACAGCAAGTAGGGTTAATATAAACTGAGCCAAACGTGTCGTCATTACATAAAAGATTGATAGGAGAGAAAAAGAGAAGAATTTTTAATATCTCCTTTGTATAAAAACTGTCGAATAGGAAACCATATTCGTGGAAACCACTGTAGTATATTCAAAAAAAAAAAACTCGTACGTCACAAATTGCTAAAACACATCATAACGTTATTGGAAACTTTTCAAGTTCGTTGAAACGATGCCAAATGTGGCTTCGTACATTGAAAATATCAATACCCTTAGCTACCGATAGCGCCAGAATATATTATAATGTTTAACAAATCCACGAATCTGCTTACCGCAAATATTAATGAAACAAGCCGCTTGAATATTCAATACAAAAGAAAAATTTCACATTTCATAATCATATTAAAATAATATTCTCCAGTTTCCAATATAAATTGTACATTTTTAATTGAAAAATTTGTTTGTAAATCAAAGCTTTATACAAGTAAATATTTGTATTCCACTCACACAATTCAGGCCACAGTTGAAATGTCAAAATTTCGCCTACGGAATAATTTAATTATTTATTTATTCTTAACCAGTCTTCTTTCTTTATTTAAATAAGTAACAACACGGCCCTGATACATTGTTAAAGATCGAGTCCTTTTATACAAATCGTGTGCTCGTTTAATAGAATACGGTTGTCATTGTTAGCGATAGAACTAACCATAGATTCGATAAGATTTTCAGACTTGAATTTGGGAGCCAGTAGTTTTCTTCTTTTGAAGATAACATCAAAGAGTCTTCTCCGTTTTGTACAAGTTTTCCAGGACAAGGCAATGCTTGAGCAGGTATATCTACTAATGTAACTTGATTTTCAAGAGATTTTATAGTTTCCTCATACTTGTAAGAGGGTTTAGTTTCTCCATATACATCATCATTGCTGTCCTGTTGAAGAACATCGCTATTCGTTTCAATTTCAAACATGTTTTCGTTATTATTAGATTTAACTTTTTCATTTGTAGTAGATTCATCGGTGACATATGCACATGTGACTTCATCCAGTGCCATTCTCAGTGGCTCGCTTTTTGTTTCATTACGTAATACTTGTATCCATGATAAACGGCAATCACAATGTAATTTATTACCTGGAACAGAATATATATTGTGTATTTATGGAACGTTTTTAAGAGGAAATGTTACATATATATTGTTGACATTTACTAGTAATAAAAATATAAAATTTCATCTAAAAATATATAATTTAAGATTTTTGTCTTTTTGTTTGTAATCGAGTTAATGGTGGAGGAATATTATTAATCCAACTACGATGAAACTTTGCTGAGTTATTGTAAAAGTAAGGCATGTAAAGATTTTTTTCTAGCATTACATCGGTACAACGGTTTATACCATTTAACGCTGTACTGTACCTACATACACTGCACTAAATTAACTTATTTCTCACTTCTGAAGGGTTTCTGGACGAAATCTACTAGAGATAAGTTATACTTTGTCGACTTTCTGTTACTTTATTTTGTATAACATAATTTATGGTACGAAAATAAATAAATACAATCAGTAAATAATTTAGTTATTTGTGTTTATGTATGTATGTACATTTGGGTGAATCTAGGGCACATCGCTAGTCAAAGAAACATCTACTAGTAAATAAATTGAGTAAACTTAGATCAAAACTAACAAAATATTTGCAATTTAAAATTCATTAACAAATAAAAAACATAAATGTTTAAAGTTGCGTAATTCAATGCAAAATAATTTTCCTTTACATCTCGCTTGTGACGTCATTCGACCTTATTTTACTCATATTAGTACGGCGCCCGGCATATAAATATGATAGATATTCCGTTATATTATCATTCAATATTTATGAAATCATTATTTGATACAGTCTCGACACAAAACGAATAAAAAATGTGTTATTCCTTATTTCTTCTTCACGTATTGTCAGAAAATAGTTTTCTTATATACCTTTATAAATTACTAGGTTTCGTCTTTGATATTGTTCGCATTTAATACATTATATCACTCAACGTACTTTTTACTATTGGAAGAAAAGAAGTTAAAATTAAAAGTATAGTGTTCCAGACATTATTATATTCTACAAACGAACAAGCAAAGTAATTGCCATCTAGCCTGAATTCTCTCAAAAAACGTGAGATTATAACGCAAAATTAACCCTGACCCAAAATTACTACAAAATTATTAAAATTAATTGAAGAAATCATTGAAAAAAAAGCAATTACGAATTAATTAAAACCGTTGGCATACTTATTAAAAAACGAACAAGCTTTACATCTATAAAGTTAGAGTAACTATGTAAAAAAATCTTGGAAGTCGATTTCAACACTCTTCTAATTGAACATGATGCTATCGAGTTAGTTTAATAATTAAACCGGAAGTTGGATATTAGAATTCTTTAATGCTTACTACTAATATCGTCTATATTGGGATCATTTTATTCGTCTTGAAAAATATTTTATTTCAGTCTATTTCAGTCTATTGTTAATAAAATTTGTTAAGAAACTGTGAATATGTCCAATAAACTTGTTTACTCTTTAATATTTTGTGTATACTAAAGTAATTGAAAGATGAAAAGAACATGATGGATGTTAATGATATTTCTATTATAAATAAAATAATATAAATTATATTATAAAAAACCAAGCATTCACACAATAATATTATAATGATCATGAGAACACATATATTATGTTTGTTGATATTAAATAACACATTTTTCATTGTGACTAAATCGTGTTATTACGCCATTGTTGATTCGCTAAAGAGAGCTGTTACAATCATTAATTGTTGCTAACGTTCGAAGGGTCCTTTAGCTTTTTGGTAGGGGATTATACCCCGTAGGGAACGCGGCATTGTTTGCACAAAATATAGTTATTTATCTTCCCATGAGTGTGTCCTAAGCAAGCATGGCGTGTTATTAAGTCCTAAATAACATGTTTGCTTCCTTAAAAGTTATATTTTCTATAACATATTAAAGAATAATTTTCTCTTTATAATGATAAAAGTTAATGTATCGAAGTACTGTTTAGTATACAGACACTACTCTACTCTATGTACGCTATTTTTAGACACTCACTATAACGATATGAGGTTGACTTCTCTTATTATATTTCTAGATAAATAGTGAAAAGATATTTTTTTACTATCAAGAAAAGGCAACTATGATTTATTTTATTATTCTTAATTTATTTAAGATAAAAACTAAGGTAAACAAATTAAATAACTTACCGCTTAAATAAAGTACAGACGTTTTCAATTTTAAATTCTCGTGAATCGGTTTGATTGTTTCATACGTAAATAGTTCGATATCGTTATTTCTTAAATCCAACAGTTCTAATCCTCGAACACCTTCTAAGAGACCCTCGTTAATGGATTGTAATTTATTACCAGTGATAGACAATTTCTGAAGCATGGTCAGTCCGTCGAAGGCTCTCTCCGATAAATATTTCAGTTCATTATTGTCCAATAGAAGCTCATTTAAATTCCATAGCTCTGAAAACGTTAAGTCACCTATCATTGATAACTTGTTTGATCTCAAATCCAATCTAGTCAAATTAGATAAACCCTTAAACGTGTCTCTGGTTAAGACTGATATTAAGTTTGCTTCTAAGACTAAATCATTGAGTACATTCAAATGTTCAAAACATCCGTCATGTGTCAGACTAATGCTGTTAAACGACAAATCGAGGTATCTGAGACTTGGTAAATCGACAAAAACGTCCCTTTGTATTTCAGCTACTTTATTCCCTTTTATCGTTAAGTTTACGAGGGCTGGTAGGCTCGAAAACGCTGAGAAATCTAACTCCATTATTTTATCATTCATCAATGTTATTTCTCTTACAGTGGACATGTTAGTGAATGTTTTTTTCTCTATCTTATTTAAAGTTGCATAGTGTATATATAACTTTTGCAATCTCTTCAAACGGTGGATCACTTGGAGAGGGATAAATTTCAGCGCTCCGTCGGACCTTACGTTGAAAGTCAATCTCTCTAGATACGGTTGCGAACTAAAGCTAGACCAAATTGGGTCAGTTTCATCAATACCACCATTAAACACCCAGCAGTCTGCTCTAGTGGCTGTTTTTATTTCCGTGTTCTCGCAATAACAATGAACTTTTGATTCTCGATTTGTAATTTCGCACATGTTATCTTTTACTTGTACGTTATGATATCGTCTTTCAGTTTTATCCCTACGTTTTTCATTTAGACGGCTTTCAGTAAGAGATATTTGCACTGAGGTCAGTGCAAGAGCCAAAAGTAAATATTGAACGACGGTCTCCATGTTATCCAAATTTTTTTAATCTGAAACAAGCAAAAAATATATTTAAAAACGTATCTATACTTATTATAAAAATAAGTCCCCCGGCCGCGTCTTTCTGTCCTCCTGTCTGTCTGTACGCGATAAACTCGAAAACTACTGAACGGATTTTTATACGGTTTTCAACAATAGAAAGAGTAATTCTTGAGGAAGGTTTAGGTATATAATTTATTATGCTTTTATGTAAATTAGCTGAAATACGGCGACAAATGTTGAAGAGGTCGCAAAAAATCTCGCCAAATGGGAACTTTCCACGCGAACGCCGCGTAAACTAGCAAAGATACAGTTAAGTAATGTACTAGAGAATTCAAAATCTATAAAAATGCTACAAAAAAGTCCGCGATAGCATATCTCTATCTCTTACGGTTGACTTACAATAACCACTTTTATGTTAACATTTTTAATTAAAAACATTACGTTATTTTCAAAGTTATTTTCTTTAGTTCGGTATTAATCCTTATCCAAATGAATATTTTAGTTAGCTTAGTCATTTAATGCAGATTAAAATTGCTCTTTACACTAAATCAATCAGATGAATAGTTTTTGAGATATCGTTGTTAGAAGTAATTAGTAGCGAAACATTTTTAATGCTTGGCGAGCATTGAGATGCCTACGGCGAGTCCATCCCCTCTGCCCCGCATCGCTCGACCGCCTGCTCAAGCTATATAAACCGGGCGATGTAGCGCGCGATCCTAGGATACTTTTTACCGCGGGAAAATATCTTATTTCTGAGGAAAAATACAAAAACTGCAATGTAAGAGTATACTAATATGTAACACCTAAGAATTTAGTTTTTGGTCATCTGAACGCGGGCGGAGCCGCGGGCAATGCTAGTTTTAAAATAAAATATAATAATTACTAAGTTAGGTATCGTATACATATTATCTATTATTAAGTTTACTCTAGAAATGTTCATATTTTCTACGTTTTTGCTATTTTATATTTCTATTTCTAATGAAATTGAAACATGAAGTCATCTACAGCACCTACATTACTTTGGTACGTATATATTTTATTTGGTCTCGAACTGTTTGATCAATCAACTAATGCATCCACGTATTTACGAAACTCCATAAGTGAATAGATATTTTAAATAAAATACCTGCAATAAATGACATGTTTACAAATAATTTAAAGCGAATGTTTCAATTTTTTCATTAATCAATTCAAAGAGATAATAATTGAAATGGAATAAACGTGCTTCCAGTAAGTTGGCTGCTCTGCAATATTTGAAATTTATAATAATGAAAAGCTTATTTCAATCACATACATATAATTAAACCTGTTGGTAATTTATGGAACATGTTTGACAGAATAATGGTTTCTGGTTCCAAAACCTGCTTTGGGAAGCCCCAAAATCCCGAATTGCCCCAAAATATTGACTACGACCTGGTTAGGATAAGAATTGTAGAAAACACAAAGAAAACAGTGCGTAAATGAAGAAATAACTATCTAAGGTAGGCGTAAATTCTCGTTCAAATTTCTTAGAAAATTGTCAATTTTACAATTAATTACCTACGTTATAAGTAATGTATCCATGAATTTTTCGAGATATGTATTGTAAAACAACGTAACGGTAGGTATATCTTTGTATACTTTTATCAAATTTGTTATTAAATTAAAGCTACTAAATGATAATAATGATATGAAAAATAAAAATATTGTGAATATCATATACCTATATTATTTTAAACATAGTAATATATATGTAAATTATTTTACTTATTGTACATATTGTAATTATATTTGATAAAAAAAGTTTACGAATATGAACGTAAATGATAATGATGCATGTTCAAACAATGTATTTAATATCACTATTTAATTCTGAAGCGTATTGTCATATATTTTATTACAAATGATCATAAAATGTTAATTATCCATTAAAAAGCGTATTGCGTTTTACTGCCAAAGCCGAATTTTAGCTTTTATCATGCAACTCATAAAGGCCGCTATGCGTGTTGTACTTTGTCGAACTAAGCCGCAGAAAACATTTGGTTATCAACTTTGAACGAATTCGTGTATGCTTAGAGTGGTATGGTTCTATAATATACTTTATATTGACAATGTTGTTGAAAAACCTATGTGCACTCAGACTAATTTGTAGGGTGTGGAAATATGAGGGAATCGTGTGTACGACACATTTAACCCCTCGTTTGCTTCGAGCGTCTATTACTGTATATCAAATAATGGACACTTAAACAAAATAGAAAGTAAATAAGTACGGCTTGAAAAGTCAACTTCTTATAGCTTTTTGTTTGAGCTAAGGATATTAAGTAGTTTATTATTCTATAAGTGTCGCTTTGTTATGTCGGTTTGTTTTTGTAATGCACCTACTTCTTATAAGTGAAGTACATTTATATAGTATATATGTATAATATAATATATATTTATATGTATGTACTCGTGAGTAGAAACTTATAGGTCTCTCTTTAGACGTGTATGTACAAGTTTCAACAAAATATTATTTGGCTAAACATTTCCTTTTCTTTAACTTAACGTGAAATAGTTGTTAAAAATTTAATTTTATATCAAAACATGGTGACTTCTATTGTACGTCTAATGTGTACCTTTTGCTACAAAATAAAAATAATACACTATAATAATTAATCATTAATTTATATGTAAACTAGCAAAACCCGCGTCTACGCGCGCGTTCAATCTAAAAAAAAAACGCTTTGGCTTTACACCCCCGCTTTACAGCGACTCACTCCCGCTTCGCTCGGGTTCGTCGTTATGTGTTTATATAATATTGTTCATACAAAAATACTAAAATCGCGATTAAAAAATGAGGGATAAGGGTAGGACGGTGAAAAATACTTTACGACCTATACCTACCAAATATACAAAAAAAATCTTTAAAATCGGTCGAGCCGTTTAGGAGGAGTGCGACCACAATCACCGTGACACGAGATATTTATATATTAGAAATTTTACAGTATTAAGTAACAAAATCACGTTTAAATAACAGTAAGATAACAATCGAAAATACCATTTATATTGTCATTCAAATACGAGTAGCGGAATCCCTTAAAGATTTGGGTTAATGTTCAATTAAGAGATGCTTAATTAGTGCGTCAGTCGTTTCTTTTTACAGCAACGATCTTATCAGCGTTAGACGAGACTTAAATGCTTTTTGTTGTTAAATTATTTTTTCTATTGAATTTTTGTTACCCTTCATTTACTATTTAATCAAAAGACAGGCAATGCTTTGTGTCCTAGCAATTACTTGGGTTGCAAGACCTAGTTTTTAATTTGATTGCTTTGAAATCACCAAATTCTTTTTAAGCTTGCGATTTAATTTGGTCATTCCATTTTCTTTACCTCTATTGTGTCTTGCTCCGTAATTCTCAAGGGAAAAGTATATATAGATTTTAATATTGAAATGCCTTTGTATCTTTGCCTTTAGATGCCGAAGTTTGATCTTTCTTTGAAGATGTTTGAAGAGACAATTTTACGATTGTAGATAAAGTTGTCTCACGTAAAATGGAGTTGATTTTTACTGAGTTGTTTCCGAATATCTGTTGTGACTTTGAGGTACACGACGTTTTGAAAATACATGAATATGGATATAAGTAACATGTTTAGGAATATAAAATACTAGCAATTGGGTGAATCGCTCCGCTCGGATTTGTCTCTAGATACGTTTTAACGGTCACAAAAGATTTCTCAGAGATAAGATATTTTCCCGTAGTAAATATTATCCTATAATATTGACCCGGATAACCAGCTATCATCATACCAAATTGCATCAAAATCTGTCCCATGCGTTCCCAGACAGACAGACAAAAATTCTAAAAACTATAGATTCGGCCTCTGTATCGATAATAATGACTTTTCCAATAAGATTTTCCAAAAAATATTTAATGTGTAGATTCAACTCAGTTAGAATTTTATTATACGAGTATGTATAGAAGATAGTCGGTCAAATATCGATTGGACTTGCACTTGATTGGAAATCTGTTCGACAAAATTTACTTGTTCCACGTATCACACTGCCATTTTAAATTTAGTTTTATGCGTGTCTGTATGCTTGTGCTCCTTCACGCTGAAACGGCTAGACGGATCTAATGACGTTAGTCATAGTAGTAGTTAGTACATAGATACATTATAACTTGAAGTAGCACATAAGCTACTGTTAGTAATAAAATTTGCCAAAAGGTGGTGCTTCTAGTACATCTATACTAATTTTATAAATGCGAGAGTAACTCTGCCTATCTGTCTGTGTATCTGACTTCTTGTATGTTAACTTTTTACGCTTAGTCCATTGAACCGATTTAGATATTAGGTATGGAAATAGTTTGAGAACATGTGAGGGACATAGGAAGTTTTTATCCCGAAAATCATCGCTTAAGGGAGTGAAAAGGAGGTGAAAATTTTTATAGGGATTCAGTCATTTCTCAAGTATAGTATAGTAATATTATCAATACAAATCCTTAGTCGCTAGTTTATCAATAAAAGTGTTGTGTATTTATATTGATGTTGAAAGTCGTATATTTTGTTTTACGTTAAGATAGAGGAAAACAACGAACCTGAAATCACGCTTGTTTTCCCCGACATTCTTAATATTTTGCTTTTTTACTATCTATCGGGTAATCCATTCCAATTCATTCTAAGAAAACGTCAAACAAATGCCTATTACTGTTGGAAAAGTATTTTTAAAGGTAGAGGATATGGAAAGACAGCGATACAGATTTAACAATATTGATAGGATTAGCAATATTGTTAAATCTGGATCCTTTTGGTACAAAAAATGGAATATTGTTAGCTTTATGTCCATATCGTTATATAGCAATCATGTTATATAGCGATAGCTTGGTTTTTATTATTTTATTTCGTATTATAAAGTAAAAATCAATTGTGCATTTCTTTGAAAACCCAAATCGTTTGAAAACAATATGTATAGGTAAATGAGTAAGTAAGCAACAGCCTTGTAATAATAGTATTCACCCCTTTTTATTTTA